TGCAGCCGTCATTGTTGTTTGGCGGGTCCGGGCTGGGGATTCGAACCTGCCACCCTAGGTGTACGTGGCTGGCGCCTTAGCTGGTTGAGCTATAGGCGCCGAGCCTTCACCTGCCTTCTTAACAAAGAGAGAAGAGTTGTGCTGCAAGGTTCCCAACCACCAACCCAACCTGAGGGGACCCAATTCCTAATTTACGCCATCAGCATTGGGGGCTTCATGAGCCCTCAGGGATAAGATGCAGACTGGACACAGGGTTGCATTCAATCCCACCCCTGTCCACCAGGAAATACTCTTGACTTGATCACTCTCAGAGATGGCCACTCAAAGGCCAGCTGGACCACCAGATCTAGGGTGAACAGCATCTAACAGGATCGTGGAGGGGAGCCAAGGGTTACCAGAAACTGCAACCCCAAACAGGACAGGGGGCATAAGCACTGAGCCCTTTTCACTCTGGCACCCTATGGGCTGACAGTAGGGGAGCAGGTGCCACCCATAAGACACTCTTTCTTGGACCAGGCATGGTGGCTCACAACTAATCTTCACACTCTTGGAGGCCAAGGCAGGAGGACTGCTTGAGCTTACAAGCTTGAGCCCAGTCTTAGCAAGAGGGAGACCCTGCTTCTAAGAATAGCCTGTGCCCTTGCCCCTGCCCTCTCCAGGATCTTTCCTCCCAGAAAAACACCATGTGTCTTAGAAGTCAGGCCTCACAGGCCCACCACCTCACTCTGCCTGCATTCCTTCCTTCCTTGCAGAAATAAACACTTCCTACCCTCTACAACAGTGGTTCTCAACCTTCCTAATGCCATGACCCTTTAATACAGTTCCTCATGTTGTGGTGACCCCCAACCATAAAATTATTTTCATCGCTATCCTCTTGCCCCAGGGAAACCCAGAGTCTCCACTCTTGATGACTGATCAAAGGCCTGCATATACAAGGGGCAGCACACAGGCAAGGCTTTGAGCCACAAATAACCACCAGGGACAGTGACCTGGCTCCAAGCCTACTGCCCAATTGCTTGGGATCTGGACACAACAAGGGACGGGAATAGGGTGGCACTGTATATCAAGTTGCTTGGGCTGGGGGAACCACTGGATGGTCTTGGCTGTGGGGTGCCATATGGCCCACCTCCACCTTAGAATGTTCATCTCCCTGCTGGCCACCCCCAGCTACCACCAATGGCCATAGAAACCCCAAGACTGAGACTGGTCCTTCACTGGGGTGCCCTATGAACAAAGACACATATGAGACACCCTACCCGTTAGTGTTAAGGGAGCAGGCAGCAGGCAAACTGCCCGTGGTCCTGACACGGAACTCCCTGCCCCAGCCTTTACTAGTCCCGCCCAGACATGGCCGCCACTGGGCTCCACAGCCTGGGCTTCCTCTAGGGGACCCGCCAGGAGTGCTGGCTGTATGCCTCAGCCTGCCGCCTGTCTCTGGTGATTCCACGACCTGATCCACCACTGGCCATGCTTCCGCTAGCCCTTCAGAGTGGTCTTATCTGTCCATGTGCTTTTCCCTGTCCCCTGTCTCTCCTGAGCATGACTGGACTCCCAGGCCACTCCTCCCCAGGAAGCCCCAGACAGCGCTTCATGGGATCCCCAAACAAGTTCCTCTAGATGGCAGTATTGTTCTACGAAAGTCACCTTGCTTTACTTCCCTAGCCCTAACACTTCTAACTGTAAAGTAAGCCAAATGATGTCCGTTGTTTCTCTATCTTGCGAGCTACCAGTTGTCTGAGATCTTTCAGCTCTTCTCGGTAGTATTGTCTTAGGCTTTCCTTTCGATAGAGAGAAATGTTTCCACATCAAGTCACCCTAGCCGTAGATAAAATGCTTCCACCAAGGCTTTATCTTTAGTCCTGGAGGTGATTCAGCCCAGGGGGAAATACCTAGAGGGCACAGATTAAGGGTTATACATTTTTCCACACATGGGGAATGTTTAGTTTTGGGCACTGTCAGGTGGCAAGGAATGGCCAGCTTGGTGAAAAAGTCTTAAGCAACCAGCTATAAGTCACCAGGACTGGGGTGACCACTGAGGCAAAACTGCCAACACAAGACAAGGACAATGAACCAACAGGGACTGAGGACCCAACTCCTCTCCCACGGTTGTCACATCTCATCTTTAGACAACAGGGGTTCCACACTTAAGTCCCTTCACGGGGGCAATAAGGTGACATATCATGCATACCTGCCTTCCTTGAACCTGACTCCACTGTCAATAGCTGGACAATTCCCACCAGAGTCTTAAGAGTGGAAAACACAGATCCAGGTACACTTCAAAGGGCTCATGAATTTCATCTTGGAAGGGAATGACACCTCCTCGAGATACCACACTTTCTCTATGTTCCTTTTTAGTATTCCAAGAGACAATGGTTGGGGTCTTAGAGAGACTGACATAGGGCTATGTGAGTGCATATTCTGCCCCCTTCAGCCTGTGTGCCTCTTCTAGTATGCCCCATGTTCTCCAAATCAGGTGGACGGTCATGGTACTGTGAGCTGGGCCCAAGAGTGATCATAAGATGACAGGCTAGCTGGGCACAGTGGTTCATGCCTATAATCCTAGCACTCTGGGAGGCCAAGGTGGGTGGATTGCTTGAGCTCTTGGTTTGAGACCAGCCTGAGCAAAAGTGAGACCCTATCTCTACTAAAAATAGAAAAAACTGAGGTAAGAGGAGTGCTTGAGCCCAAGAGTTGGAGGTTGTTGTGAGCTATAATGACACTATGGCACTCTACCCAGGGCGACAGCTTGAGACTCTGTCTAGAAAAACAAAAATTGACAGGCAAAACATATAGGCAGGGTTCCACTGAACACAAAGAAGGTAAAGGGCTGAAAAATATGGCTGTCCTGCCTCTGTCTATAAATCTGTGTTCCACCATGGAATTCTGGGGCCCCTTTTTCCAGGGGTAAGGCTGGAAGTCCATGTTCCTGCTGTTGTCAGATGCCCTCATGGGGGCCCAGTTCAGTGCATTTCCGCTCTCCACTGCACTGTAGGACACTGACCTCATGTTCCATAGACTGATCCAGATCCCTTAGGAAGACACATATTGCCTAGGTGCTCATTCAAGTACCTTATACTTTGGTTACCACCATCAGTACCTTACCTAAAAACCTTTCCTACCAACCATGATGGAACATTACAGAAGAGATTCTATTACTCCATGCCAGCAATGTCCCTATCTTGGCAGTCTTTCAGGTGTGCTGAAATCCTAGCATCACTACCTATTTCATAGGATGAACTAGGACTTTTTTTTGAAAAGGAAAAGGAAGAGAATAAAAAGCACTCACCTGTAACAACAGCACTGAGAGATGACCCAGGCTCAGAGAGGTTTCTTTGTCTTCTGCCCACAGTCCTGCAAAGAAACAGACAAATGTCCTTCACTAGATGTGGGACTTACTGTCAAAGTGATGGTCAAATACGACAGTGTACATACACCCCACCTTATCAATCGAGAGAGCTTTTAAACTAGGCTAGCGCTGTTAGTTGGGTCAACTGTGATTATCTAAAGAAAGTATAGCTCAATAAACAACTCTACTAATCTCTAGAAATTACACGAATGTTGTGTGGGGTTATCATAAAGAGACAGCTCTCTTGGCATGGCCCCGTATGAAACTGAACTGGAGGATACCTTCCTCTGGCTCTCCTTTCTCTGAGAACGAAGGCCATCACAACTTGGTTGTCTATCCTTGCACAGCTTCCCTCTCAGTGTTATTTGTGTGACTATGGAGAAATATATATCCTAATATTGTCATGAATCTGTTTTCTTCACTGCTTTATAATGAAAAAACAGACCCTTGAGGGACCATCAGCTCTTCTGGCTAGAGAAGAAATGAGAACCCAAGTTATCTCCAATCTGGCTACATAGAGATCCATCACACTGACTTTCCAGGGATGAGGGCAAATCATTCATGTGGGTGGCTGCATCTGAATCTACTCTGCTGCTGGCCTTTGGGTGGACACATAATACATACACACTCACCCTGTTGGAACTAGGACTTTATATTCAGCTCCAAGATCAGGTCTATTTCAAAGCAAAGAGGAAGGGTACCAGGCATGGTGGCTTATGCCTGTAATTATAGAACTTTGTTAGGCTAACACTGGAAGACGGCTTGAGGCCAGAAGTTTAATACCAGCCTGGGCAATAGCAAGACCCTGTCTCTACAAAAAAAATTTAGCCAGGTGTGGTGGTGTATGACTGCAGTTCGGCTGCTTAGGAGGCTGAGACAGGAGAATCAGCTGAGCCCAGGAGTTAAGAGTCTGTAGTGAGCTATGATGATACTACTGCACTCTAGCCTGGATGATAGAGCAAGACTGTTGCCAAAAAAAAAAAAAAAAAAAAAAAGACATATGGTAGGGGGAACAAGGGAGGGGATAGAGGGAAGGAGAGGATTGGTGTGATCCAACTTAATGGGCACAATATAAGGGTATGTGGTACACTTTTTGGATCTGGGACACAACTAACAAGAGTGACTATACTTAACAAATGCAAATATTGCAACCTAGTTGTTTGTACCCTCGTCTTAACCTGAAATAAAAAAAAAAAGAGGTATGGTAAATAAATAATGTTTTTGTTACCCCCAGAAGACATGGGCACCTAAGCAGATATTACAGGGGAAACGGGAAAAGATCTGGCAGGACATTGCCTCTGCATACATGTGCAAAGGCCCAGAGACACATTTTGTGAAAGCTGCAAAGTACATGAAATCCATTACATGCGAGATTCTTGGGGTGGGAGAGAAGGCCAAAAGCAGACACACATATACATTTGCCTGGATTCTCACTGTACACAAACATAAGGAAACACAGCTGTACTTTTCATGTAGAGATTCCCAGCAGTAGTCATAGAACCAAAGTCTTTCACCAGTGTTACCTCCTTGTGTGGAGACATAGGCTCTCCTTCTGACCCATGAACACCAACTTGGGACACTCAATGGTAAGTGACTGAGACCCTTGTAGGCAACCAAGGGCTATATCCTCCCAAGTCTTTTCACCTGACATAGCACCTGTCAATTCCTGCTGCTCCCATAATAGTTAACTACTCCCTTTCCAATCTGGTCCTGAACCAGTAAGCTGGATGAGGCTCCTTTATTCAATTCCTTTGGCTAAGCCTTGCTCCACAATAACAGAAGAGAGGTAATGGCTGCAGGATGAGAGGGGAAATAGAAATACTCAGCCTACCTGAAAGTATGAGTCAATGTTACTGTGAGAGCAGGAGTTCTACCCAAGATGAACCATACAATACCCACAAGTATGACAAATAAGTGGGGGCCCCTTTATATGATATCCAGACTGAAAGCTCATAACAAGATGATGTAAGAATGGATACATAATATGTGCATATATCTTTTTCATGAAAATTTTCACACACATATTTATATTCCCTATCAAGAGCCAGAGGGGAAGGGGCACCCCTTCTCTTAGCATCCTTACCAAGGAAACCCCATGTCCAGGGTTTCTAGGGATTTTGACCCTTTCTTAGCAATTTTTTATTTTTAGCCATAAACAGTGGAAGGAGATGCTTGAGATGGCAAGATGGTGAAATTTCTGATGCAATAGTGCCATCAAGTAGAAGCTTTTGAGCATGACATCCAGATCCCTCTGTGTATTGAGGGTGGAAGGGTAGGTTTGGGGTACTCAGGGAATTATGGGGCTAGACTTGGCCACTCCATTGGGTATAAAGTCCTAGTTGCAGAGCCAGTGTGAAGGTGACTGTGATAGGCCTACCCACCAATGATCCATGGACTACCAGGCTTACCAGGTCTAGAGACCAAGTCTTAGTGGCCATCAGGTTTGGAATGTTGGAGCTCAAGCTACCTAGGGCTTTTGCCTCTGGATTTTTGCTCTTGGTGCGGAACAAGTTAGGGGGAATAAGAGGGCCACTGTGAGGGGGCATTAGGGCCATGGGGAAACTGGGGGATGTCCAACTGGAGGATGAAGGCTTAGTCAAGTAAAGAGGAGGGGCTGACAGACACAGTGCCAGGGACATCCACTTACAGAAGGGATGGACAATTTCCTGATTATTGGGTATGAAACTAAGAGATGAAGACACACTATAAGTGCACTGCATTTCAAATTTTGTCAGATTTCCTCTTGTTACCATCAGAGAAAATCTGGATGGGTCACAGGGTCCACAGAATGTCATTCTGAATATTTATCATAATGCAGAGGGTGCCAGCACCCACTTGGGATCAATAACTGCAATCAGACATAATCCTTAAGAGTCAGGGGAAGCTGGTTCTGTACTGTGTATGTACTTCTGGTCATGATCATTTCAGCAATGCCTTCTTCCCTGCCATCTGGTGGTGTGATCCAGTTCCTCTCCTTGTGGAACATACCTGGGTATACAAATGTGTGTGTGGGATATATGTTCTCAGGATCTGGCTATTCCTACTCAGTTGCCCTAGGCCTAAGAAGGACATCCAGCTGGGTGTGGTGGCTCATGCCTGTAATCCTAGCACTTTGAGAGGCCGAGGTGGGTGGATTACCTTAGCTCAGGAGTTCAAGACCAGCCTGTGCCAGAGTGAGACTCCATCTCTATAAATAGCCAGGTGTTGTGGCAGGTGCCTATAGTCCCAGATACTTGGGAGGCTGAAGCGGCAAGCAGATCACTTGAGCCCAGGAATTTGAGGCTGTGAGCTATGCTGCCACAGTACTCTACCAAGGGCAACAAAGTGAGAAAGTCTCAAAAAAAAAAAAGCAAATTGAGACCACTACACTTACAGTCTTGTGCTGGGGGCTGATTAGATCCTATAGGTCTAGACCCTGTCCTAGGACTTGGCAAAAAAAGATATGTCAGCCCAAAAGGCTCTGCTTATGTAGACCACTGGGAAAAAGGAAACTCACATGTATCAAATGAAGGAGGGCAAGGAATAGTTTTTGGCATCCATCTGGGAGGTATGAAACAGAAGAGGTCAGGTCCTACACCTTGAGACTACCTATTATAATCTTCGTCAAATGTGGAACAGGGAGGTAGGAGCTAGTGGAGAGCTTAACTTACCACAAAGATTCTTCATAGTTGGGCTGTTGAAGGGCAAAGATTTAAGAAAAAGGCTTGTATGCCCAGAAGTAAGCACCTGGTTTCTGGTCCTGCCAGGTCAGCTTGATGCCAGGGGAAGATCTAGGAAAGAAGGGTAAAAAGGAGCTAGAGTTGAGTGAATGGGGAGGAACAAGGGTAGAGAAAGGAAGGGCAGCAACTGAACCCTACATTGATGACATTTAGGCAGCAACTCATGAAGCTTTTTCCCAGCATGGGATGGAGAGGCAGGGAGTTATATGGAAATAAGAGCCATTCCTACTCATGGCACTGATAAGGTAACTAGACATCTCACTTTTGGCAGGATAGTCCCAATTTTTAACAATTTGTCCTGCATCCTGCGGCGTTTTAAAAAAGTTCCGATTTTTGGAAAGAATGCATGACAAGCTAGGGAATGGCAGGAGAACAGGAAGGGAATATATGGTTTTCGGCTGCCATGTGTCTATTTTGCCAGGATATGAGTTTTATATTATTTTTGTTAATTTTATAATGTTAACGTTTTTAAAATTTTTTTTTGTTTTTTGAGACAGAGCCTTAAGTTGTCATCCTGGGTAGAGTGCTGTGACATCACAGCTCACAGCAACCTCCAACTCCTGGGCTCAAGAGATTCTCCTGCCTCTGCC